TCGGGAGACCACTGAATCAGCCAACGTCCAAACAGATCCTTGCCAAGCACTCGAGCTGGTCCTTGCCACTTCCGGCGTAGGTCGCGTTTGCCTCCACCTGTGCGCCCATAGTGAACCCATTCGCCTCGCTCGAATGGTCCAGGCTGAGGTCGAGCCCTTGATGATACAGCTCGTCGTAGCTCTAAACTGTTGCCTGACTGGTGGAAGGCAATCTCACAAGCTTCTTGTAGCTTAGTCGATGCCACATGAGCGATCCTTGAGTAACTTGCCCAGCAATCACGGGATCGGCATTGATATCTCCGAGAGATGCCGGGAGTGAGGGGTTCTCGCCAAGTACCTATCGCGCTGGGCTGAATCCCTTGTTGTTGGCGAGTCGGTTGTCTGAGCAATCTGGTATCCGGCAATTCGGGCACATTCGTCGCCTCTGACCTCCAGCTCGCGAAAAAAAACTTTGCTGACGTTGGACTCGGCTTCCGATCTCCACCGCTGATCATCCACTGAAGTGCTGCAAAGTCGGTAGCAAGGTCAAGCATAACCAAGAAAGCATGCATATTCCCACCCAAGTCTGGTACATATGCAATGTCCACGCCTGGACACTGATTGAATCGTATCCACTTTTGTAGGCTAGCGATAGGACGTGCTGGCGGTCGCTGTTGAGAATCACATAGCTCACATTTGAAAAGCATGGCCGCTGAGATCGCTGCTGGTGATCCTCCGCCTGTCCGATTGTTTCGGGCAAGCTCTTCGCCTCGCAGAGCATGGGGAAACTTGATGCGCAATTTCTTGATCGCTGCCGTGAGTGCTGCCGGTACTCGATGCCAATCGGTGTAGGTCTCCGCATTCGCGCCCATCATGATTCGTGGGCTTGGTGTGAAGCCTGTGGCGGGGCATGTGTCAACGGTGTCGGGGGCTCCCAGGATAGTCTCGCCTCCCAGTAGCTTCTCGAAGTCATATTGTTGTTTGACACCCTCGAGAATCTGTTCAGCCATGTCTGTTGTCCAAGTTAAGAAATCACGTGGCTTGCCACCGCGCCTTTGAATTTGACCATGTCCGTGATCTCGTGAAAGCCGGACTCCAAGTGCATATGCCAGCGCCACTGCTGACGTCACGAATCTCGTTGGTTTCTGCAGTAGATCTCCCAGATCATCTCGCAAATCAAAGGCACATTGACCACGTCGAACCCAAACCGATCCAGGTGGCAACTCATCCTTGATGATGTTCCACATTTTTGAACATAGAGGGTTCTCCAGTAGTACTTGACGTCCGTGCTCCATTCGATACCTGACAATTGCGAGTGCAAACTGAACATGCGCGAATGCCGTGGCTTGGCGTCGCCGTCTCTCCTTCGGCGGAAAGAAGTTGGTGATTGCTGACCACGCGTCGCACGGACATGGCACGATCGTGAGACATGGGTCTTCAGACTCAAGTTCCCTCATCGTCTCTGCTTGCATACGGGGTAGTAGTAGATCATCGCCCGTAGTACGTAGATCCTGGCTTTTTTCCCGTTCTCATACCGAACTCCGTCGCCAGACGAGCAACAGGACATTGACCGCCGTAAGTATCCTTGACTACTGTCCCAGGAGTATGCAGACGATGTCGATCAACACGTAGAACACTCCACGTAGCTTTCATTTCCCGCGCATGGTCGGCTATCCACGTATCCACTTGTTTCTTCTGGGACCCTGTCATGATGCCGATATCTGCCTGCATGATCTTGCTGCTCTGCGTCTGGTTTGATCCGTCTTCTTCTGCTGCCCAGACGTCCAGCGTTTTCGCACTGATAGTAGGTGCTTCCCGATGTGTCGGTGTCTTCGGAAAGTCCGTGCTATTGACCATCAAGTGATTACTCTTGGAACGCGTGATCTTCACTGGCGTGTCCGAAATCGCTCTGAAGATCACCTGATTCTGGTTAACGCTAATGAGCGTGTTCTGGGCGTCCGTCTGATCAACACTCATGAGCATTGGTGCGTCGCCCACTCGCATCGAGTCGCTAGCAGGGGAAGGAGGACGAATGGGGGCGAAGGGACTTTTCAGAACCAGCTGACGGATGGCTTCGCTGTTCTGTTTGTCCGCCGACGGCTGTCCGAGTGCAACCTGGGCCGCGGGGGTTAGAGCCGCACTAGGGTAGCAGCTGTCGTCTTGGTCAGGGACGGAGTCCTGGCCAGGGTAACAGCTGACGGCTGCGGGCACCAAGTGAGGTCCATCAGGGGGTAGTTGCCACTGATGCTGTCCTGCTCCTGCTGCTGCTGAAGATACCACTGTTCCTCCAGCCTTTGGCGCCCCTCCCGCAGCTGCTCCTCCACTGCAGGTTCGGCCTGCAGGTCGGACACTTGCTGCCAGAACTGCTCTGCCTCTCTGGCCGCCGCAGAGCCCACCGCCTCCCGGTGCTGCTCCTCCGCCGGCAGTTTGGCCTGCAGCTCGGACACCTGGTGCCTGAACTGCTCTACCTCTGTGGCCGCAGCAGAGCCGAGAGCCTCCCGCAGCTGCTCCTCCGCGGACAGCTCGGCCTGCAGCTCGGACACCTGGTGCCTGACCTGCTGTGCCTCCGTGGCCACAGCAGAGCCGACAGCCCCCCGACGCTGCTCCTCCGCGTCGCCCTTTTGGTGCCGGAACTGCTCTGCTTCTGTGGCCACAGCGGAGCCGACAGCCTCCCGCAGCTGCTCCGCCGCTTTGGCCTGCAGCTCGGACACCTGGTGCCTGAACTGCTCTACCTCTGTGGCCGAAGCAGAGCCGAGAGCCTCCCGCAGCTGCTCCTCCGCGGACAGCGCGGCCTGCAGCTCGGACAATTGCTGCCTGACCTGTTCTGCCTCTGCTGCCGCAGCAGAGCCGACCGCCTCCCGGTGCTGCTCCTCCGCGGACAGTTTGGCCTGCAGCTCGGACACTTGCTGGTCCGCCAGCCCAGGAGGCGGGTCCATTTCACGAACTGAGGGCGGCTTCGACGCACTGGCTTCGCTTGCGCTCTCGATCAACAGCACGAGTATGCGGCGCAACACTGGCTTCATATCCAAAACAGATGTGTCACATGGCAACAATACTGCAAACTCGGATGGTTTGCGGATGCCCAGCACCTGAGCAACATGATGCGCGACATGATCCAGACCCCAGAAGCGGAGAAGGTCGAGAACATTCATCGGGACCTGACCAGAGCCACAAGGCGGGTCAGGTGATCTGGCCTGCAGTGTACGGCGAAGCCTTTCCCTCCTATGCTTGGACAGCGTCGGAGTCTTTCCCTGCACAGGTTCGTCATGAAATGCCTCTGGAATGGTGCTGCCAGCCCCGCCGGGGCGGCTACCCCAGTTGCCGTCGCTGCCGTCACGTCCGCCACTGCCGCTCGGGGCCGCTAGGCAGTCGGGCGGCTGGACAGCTGCCAGGGTCATCCCGGGAGGCACGTCCATCGCCGGCGGAGCGCGCAATCCTGAATAGGGGCGTGCTCGAGCCCAGACGGCAGGACGCTGGCGTGGTTACTTTTTTTGTTCGCGAGCGCAAGCGGGAGAGCCGCGCGCCGTCGCAAGGGTCAAGCAAGCCTAAATGCCGCGGCCAGGGACAGAAGCGGCGAGCAAGCAGCGCGCTCATAAGTCGAAGACAGCCGGGCCCGCGTGCCGAAGAATGGCCTTCAGCGAATTCGTCCTCAGCGAACTTGTCCTCAGCGAACTTATCCTCAACGAACCTGTCCTCAGCGAACTTGTCCTCGGCTGCGAGACAGCATGCGACGAATGTGGGGCACGGCCACCACCGCCGTCGTCAAAAATCCCGTGACCACACCACGTAGGCCATTCTCAAATAAGTGCCGCAGGGAGAGGGCCTTGGTGTCTGCTGGCACTGGCCCCAGCGTCACGGGGGGAGCGCTGGGGGCCGCGTGCGCGCTGTGGGTGGCGGTCGCAGCTAACAACCGCAGGAGCTAACAGTGGGTGAGCCCGTGCACCTGCTGCGGGGGGACAGCCGCAGGAGGATGGACGGGCCAGACAGCCCGGAGAGGCCATCGATATATCTCCTGGCACCAGCGCCCCTGGCAGGAGCGCCGAAGGCCAAGGCCGTATTGTGGGTGGCGGTCGCAGCTAACAGCCGCAGAGATAGTGAAGTCAGCGGGCGTGCCCGTGCACCTCCTGCGGGGGGACAGCCGCAGGAGGAGGACGGGCCAGACGGTCCAGGAAGTTCATTGCCTGCTGGCCTCAGCGCCCCCGGGGGAGCGAGCGCCTAAGGCACGGACGTAGTGTGGGTGGCGGTCGCAGCTAACCGCCGCAGAGATATTAGAGACAGGTGAGCCCGAGAACCTCCTGCGGGGGACAGCCACAGGAGGAGGGGCGGGCTGGACGGATCAGGGCGGCTGACCGCCGCAAGAGCCAGTGGTCACAGAGGGTGGGTCCGGGGCCCGTCTGCGGGTGGACAGCCACAGGGGGAGCGACGGACCAGGACGGACCAGGAAGCGAGTGACCGGCGCGCAGGCCAGGACCCAGGAGGTGACGGTGCATGGGGGCGGGGGCAAAAAGGCGGGCGGGAGGTGGTGGGGGGAAGTAGCTTAACAGCCGCAGAGTCAGTGAAGAGCCCGGGGGGCATTTTTTTGCTGGTGTGGTTACGCGAAGCGTCTAGAATTTTCTGAGCCTCCCCAGAAGACGCAGAAGACCCCTTAGAAAGCTAGAGGGTTTCTGACAAGCCCCGCCGCCGTCTGAGATCGCCTTCTCCTTCTCATTACGCTTCTTCGCTCGCCGCCGAGAACAAATCAAGCTTGTGCAAATCAAAGAATTCTGTAGTCTGGGGAAACGCAAAGGTACCGATACCGCTACTACACGGCCATCTCATGAGGTGCGTCTTGTTCAGAATCTCGAGGCGAATCCGACGGTGGCGACGCAGGCCTCCCGTGGGGCCGAAAAAGGGGGAGGGAAGGTTGGGCACCTTTTTCCTCTTCTGATAGTCGATCGCCGCCGGAGCAGCGTGTCCAGTAACATGCGAGGCTGGGAACAACAAAGCAGAGAAGGCAGCTGGCGAGAGGCCCCGGCCAGGAGCCTTTCCGGCCGCAGCGCCGTCGCGGCGACTGGCGGCCTCGCGGGTGCCGCCGCCGGCTGGGCGCCGCCGATGATCGTGGAGAAAGACGCCGGAGGCCGCGCCCCCACAGACATGGGTTTTGCATAGTTGTCTGCCTTTGTGGGCCCTCGCTGGGCCCTGGGATCGTCAAAAACGACTCAGGATGAAAACAACTGTCCCGGGGAAAGGGTCGGGAGTTCTGGTGGCCCTGTATTGAAAACATGAGGACACCGCGTGTCTGGGTGACGCTACCCTTCCCTCGTTTTCAGCTTCATGGTCCTCCTGGGAGTTCCTCGTCGCCATCGCTGGATCCTCCTCGAAATCCTAGTCAGAACGCGACCAGGGAGAAGTCCGGAGAGTAGGTGTCCCAAAAGAGCTCGAGTAGGGCCCAGTTCATCGGATATTAGTGTAGGAGGGGCTAGAATCCTGTCGAGGTTGGCCCCTGGACCGCTCCCAGAGTCCATCACAGCCAGTCTGTGATGGCTCCCAGAAGCGTCACAGAAGCACACGAAAGTCCCAAGGTTGGTCGAAGACTGTCCCCGCAAAGGCCCAGAGACCCACTTTGGAGGAGGAGCCAGATTCCTGTCGAAATCGGCCCCTGCCCAGAACATTGGAGACCATTGCATCCAATGATCAGGGGGGGAAGGGTGTCCCGGACGTCCTCGCGTCCTGAAAGCACCGCGACGGACATCTCTCTGCCATTTTCGGCCTCCAGCGGCTCTCGCCATGCCCTGGGACGCTCAACAAATGGCTCGGGACGAGAAGCTGGTCCCGGGGAATTGATCAAAACCTCCAGAGGTCCACGTTGTGAAAAAACCTCGGGCAGCCCGACCTACGAGTTCGCCCTGTCACGGGCCCCGGAACCCTCGCGGATCGATCGAGTTCAAAGAATGCCGCAGAGTGGTGGGGTCGGGCGGGGCTAACACGAGGATCAATGCGGTGCAAAGCGTTGCGGAACGCTCTCAGAGCGTTCCTGAACGCTCTGAGAATGCCGCGACGCCCAATACATCCTGCAGAGCCGCCAGATCTTATAGATTCTCGAGTTATCCTCACCCGATAATATCCTCGTCCTGGCTACGTCTGATCTAAGGCTCCTGCGGGCAAGATCTGGATCCATACATCCTCTGTATCCTGGACTATTCTGGCTGAGGCGCGAAGGGTGTATGTGTGTGAGTGTTTGCGTGTGTAAAACAAAAGCTAGTATTTGTAAGGGCCCACACCGCTCCTTCTCCTCCTCCTCCTCCTCCTCCTCCTCCTCCTCCTCCTCCTCCTCCTCCTCTTTCTCCTCCTCCCTCTCCTCCTCCATTCTCCCTCCTCCCTCCTCCCTCCTCCCCCCTCCTCCCTCCTCCCTCCTCCCTCCTCCTTCTCCCTCGTCCATCCTCCTCCCTCCTCCTTCCTCCCTCATCCTCCCCCTCCTTCCCCCCTCTCTCCCCCTACTTGTGCCTCAGGTGTCCGGGGAAGTGAGCCCGAAACTCCAACATGCAACGGACCTAGATATGTCGCCGCGCCGTCCGTTCCGATGCGCGGCCTTGCGTCTCGGGGAGAGCGCCGCAGGAACCAGGGGAAACACGTCGCTTCAGACGCGGCGGGTTCGCCGTGGGTTTACCGCGGTGCTGGCGTCCCCTATTGGGCGCGGGGCGCAGGGGTTGCCGCGGGTTTGCCTTGGTTTCAGCGTCGTCCACCTGGGCGCGTGGAGAACACACGGCGCTTCGACATATGGATATACATCTTCCCCGCAGCTATGGTCGTGATTTTCGACGAGGTTGACATGTTTCGTGACGTCGGGTCTCTCGGAGAGAGACTCGGAGGAAGGCCAAACGAGATAACAGCGGGCCTCTCTGCCGTTTTCCGTCCTCATGCTAGGCCTCCTGGATGCCTCAGATGGTCGCCACGGCAGGACCCGCCGGCGTGGTGGCGACATGCGACTGCGAGGGCTCTAGGGAAGGGAAACAAGAGGAAAAGGTGTCAGAGGCCAGGATGATTGCAGTAATGCTCTGTGCTTGGACTGAGGTTCAGCGCCTTCGCGGCTTGGATGAGGTTAGTTAACAAGATGCTGTGGCGAAGCGGCCTTGACGCAATACCAATGTTTGCTATCATCTCTGGTGAACTTATGATGCACACGGGCCGCGCGGCTCTGGCGTCAGTAGGCTCGTCAAAAGTCTGCTGCTCCAGCGCTGTTTTGTAGAAATGCCCGCTGAAGCCAGCCCCCCATGGAAGGCACGCGGCTATGGGAACGAATGCGGGTTGCTTTCAGATAATTATCTTGGGTGCAGCTCTGCTCCTCCAAACCAACGCGGTCTCGAAGGAGGAGGTCCAGTCGGGCCACTCTGGTTGGCATGCGGCTTGCGGAAGGAATGCGGGCTGATCTCGGACAGCGTTCTTGGGTCTAGCCTTGCTCTTCCCAACCCCTCAAGGCATCGATGGGGGATGCCTTGCACACATCGCCAGGGATTTGGACACCTCGCAGCGTGGCGAGTCTGCACACATTGGAGCCCGCGGTTGTCCATTTGGCCCTGCCCCCGTCTTTGTGATGGGGCGTCCGCTGGTTCACCCAGGCTGCCCTGCCATAGAAGATCAGGAAGACCTTGGACGAGTATCAACCGCGCCAGAGCGTTCTCCCTGAGAGCGGTGCAGAACGCTCTGGAACGACCGCGGCGCCCGATGCGTATTCCAAGCCCACCAGTTCTCATAGATTTCGAACACCTTCCGCTCGAATTGGTGTTCTGCCTGGAGTGGGCCTTGACCTGCGCGCGGCATTGGATCTGCAGAGTTGTGTTCAGGTCATGCCAGGATCGTTGGGTTCAGACTCTGTCCGTGCTTCAGACTCCGCCCTCTGGGTGGACCGCCCACCCCCACTCGTCGCCGTCATCCGTCGTCTATTGGGGTCAGCTTGGAGCCATCGCGGGGTCGCATCAGGATCGCGGGGTCAACTTGGGATGCCTGGGCAGAGCTGTGCATCCGCATTTGTGTGAGACATCTTCGCCATTGAGTGCCTATGTTTCAGGTCAGCTATGTTTCCGGGCTCTCCTCGTCTTTTTCGCGCGAGGGAGCTCGTGTGAACATTGCGGTCTCCAAGACCCCTCGTCCTCCTCCTTCCCCTTCCTCCCTCCTCTATGTCATCGTCGTCCTGCCTCTTGCATCTCTTCCGTGGGGGCTGCGAATTGCGAAACTGTCGCCACTATCGTAAGCCACATAGAGGTCCAGCGGAGTTGTGTCCCACGGCGATCAGAATGGGACCTCGCCGTTCCTGGGAGCTGCGAACTGCGCAACTGTCGCCATTTTCGTGGGCCCCTGGGCGGTCCAGCGGAATGGGGTGCTCCAGGACGTCCTGGAGGGCTGAGGTTGAAGCCATAGATTTTGGAATAGCGTTCCAAACACATTCAGCCCCAGGTTTTGGAATGCCGTTCCAAAAGCATTCACCCCTAGATTTTGGAGGACCATTCCAAACACAACCAGCCCCAATGTTTGAGCCTACGCTATCCGTACACTGCTGCCCGCCGCCGTCGTCGTCGGCAGGTTTGGTCGGGAACCAGGGGGGGGCAAGTTTGCCATCGCGTTGTGGTGTTCAATTTCGCCGTCATCGTCATCGTCGTCGGCAGTTGCGTCCAGAACCATGGGGGAACTTTATCAACGTGTTATGGTCTCCATTTTCGGGTCGTCGTCGTCGTCGTCGGCAGGCTGTCCAGAATCAGGGGAACTTTGTTAACGTGTTGTGGTCTTCATTTTTGCCGTGGCCGTCGTCGTCGGCAGGTTCAGTCCAGAACCAGGGGGGTAATTTTGCTAACGTGTTGTGGTCTCTATTTCCGCCGCAGTCGTCGTCGTCGGCAGGCTCAGTCCGGAACCAGAGGGGGCAACTTTGTTAACTTGTTGTGGTTTCCCATATTCGCCGTCGTCGTCGTCCTCGGCACGTTTTAGTATGGAGCCAGGGGGCAGCTTTGTTAATGTGTTGTGGTTATCATTTTCGCCGTCGTCGTCATCGTCGGCTGGTTGAGTCCGGCCGCCACAGTCGTCGTCGCCGTCACCGTCGCCGTCGTCGTCGCAGTCCCCTTCTACGTGGGTCGTCGTCGCGGCCGTCCGCGTGTCGTCGTCGTCGCTTGTCGCTCGTCGTCGTCGTCGTCGTCGCCATCGTCAGAACAGGGCGAGTCGTCGTCGTCGACGTCGTCGTGGTCATGGTCGCCGCCGCCGCCGCCGCCGCCGCCGCCGCCGTCGTCGTCGTCGTCGTCGTCGTCGTCGTCGTCGTCGTCGTCGTCGTCGTCGTCGTCGTCGGCGTTTCGTCGTCGTCGACGTCGTTGCTCGTCGACGTCGTCGATGTCGTCGTCGTCGTTTCGTCGTCGTCGCCGTGGCTCGTCGTCGTCGTCGACGTCGTCGTCGTCGCCGTCGTCGTCGTCGTCGCCGTCGTCGTCATCGTCGTCGTCGTCGGTCGTCCTCGTCGTCGTCGTCATCGTCGCCGTCGTCGTCGTCGCTGTCCGTTCTCGTCGTCGTCGTCGTTCATCGTCGCGGTCGTTGTCGTCGTCGTCGTCGTTCGTCGTCGTCGTTTAGTCGTCGTCGTCGTCATCGGTCGTCGTCGTCGGTCGTCGGTCGCCGTTGTCGGTCGTCGTCGACGTCGTCGTTGTCGTCGTCGTCGTCGTGTCGTCGTCGTCGTCGTTTAGTCGTCGTCGTCATCGTCGTCGTCGTCGTCGTCGTCGTCGGTCGTCGTCGCCGTCGTCGTCGGCTCCGGTCGTCCCCCATCCTTGGCCTACTGCGTGGCGCTTACGAAGCACCCCACCTTGGCTGGCAACATCTACATCTAGCAACATTCATTTACTCATTCATCGTAGTCGGCGGTCTGGTCCCCGCCCGTGGTGCGGCGCCTACGCACCAACCCCCCCGTTCCCTCCCCCCCTTCCCCCCCGTCCCCCCCCCCTCCCCCCCCTTCCCCTCCCTTCCCCTCCTCCCTTCTCCCCCCCCCCTTCCCCCCCCCCTCCCCCCCCCTTCCCCCTTCCCCCTTCCCCCTCCCTCCCCCCCCCCTCCCCCCCCCCCCTCCTCCCACCCCCCCTTCGGCAACATTTACTCCTCCCCTCCTCCTCGTTTTCGTGC